TTCTTGAACATAGTCATCTTCATACATAAAGTGAGATAAGATTGCTTTGCCAATTTCATCATATTCATTATAAACTTTCAATAGTATTTCTCAATCTCTAAGCTTGTTGATGGTTTTAATATTCTTTCTCTATCCTTCATGATTAAACTAATAAACATATTGATGTTCATAGGTGCAAAAGTATTATTTTTGATAACTTCCAGTGATAAACATTTCTCTAGATTCATTATGTTCACCACATTGAGAATAGGCAGGTAGATTCAGTTGTTTTTCTCTGATACAATTATCACAGGTGGTTACTTTTTCTCCATTCATTTTGAAATATGTTCCAGTATAATATTTATCTACATATTTCTCACATTCACGGTATCTTTTAATTTGTGAGTTGGGATGAATTTGTTGTAAGGCAGCTTGATATGAATTAAAACTTTTCTTGACTCTTTCATTAACGAAGAGTTCTTGTTCAACTTTATCAGCTCAATCTTCAGTAGTTTTAAATTCAATATGGAAAGGTTTATAAATCTTGATTGTTATCCAAGTAGCAAGTTCATTATAATATTGGTGACATTGATGATTAGGCATGAAAAGATTTTGATGGCACCAACATTAGCTATTTGATTCTCTCCAATCAAATGACCATCAGTTGTTCTAATTACAAGATTGAGTAAATTTCTTGTCAAGTTATTTAAAATCTTTCCAGGTATATTTCTTTCATTTGATTTTGATTCCTTCTTGATAAGCTTGTACTTTATAAGTCCATTTAACACTTTAGATAATTTGTGAAGGTACAGTGGTACTGGAAATTATTTGGAAATTTTTAAATCACATTTTCTCAGAAACTGGTAATTCAATCATTTTAATTTTTTTTTATTTAAAAGAATAATAATACAAGTTTCGAATAAAATATAAATTAATAATTTATTCATTCGCCATTCTCCCTAATTTTCACCTCACATCTCTCCGGCATCGAATTGACTAAAGATTCTAATATCTCATCTGGGATTCATTCCCATTCCTCGACCATAAATATTTCCAACTCTTCTAAATCTTTTGGACTCCGATTCTCCACATTTCTCTTAATAATTGATCACAAATTTTTGATAGGATTTAGATCAGGACTATTCGATGGCCAATCCATAATGACGGATGCGTTACTTTGAAAAAAATCCTTCACTAAATGACTTGTGTGTTTTGGATCGTTGTCCTACTGGAACTGCTAATTGTTTCCTATCATTTCTTCGACCTCAGGAAATTGTTCTTGAAGAATTCTGACATAAAATTTTGCATCCACCTTTCCCACAAAGCAGTAAAGGCTTATTTTATTATGTACACAAAATCCACTCCATGCATAAATTTTTTGCTGGTTCTTAGGAATACGTCAAATGGATCAGGTATGTTTATACCACTGAGTAATGGTATTCCTAAATAGTTGAAAAGATGTCTCGTCAGAAAAAAGTGTTTGGGATCAATCATCATTAAGATGTTTTTGGGCCCATTCGATTCTTTTTTTCTTATAATTATCCGTAAGCATAGGTATAGCAAGCAGGAGGGAATTTTTATAGCCATGAGCAATGAGGTGAGTTCAAACCATTTCTCTTCCAACTATAAAACTGTTTTCTTTCAATTTATTAACTAAATCACTGACAGAAATTGTAGGATTGTATCGTATATGTGCACCTATTGCACTAGCTATCGAGCTGTTAATTTTTTTCGGTCTACCTTGACCTTTTTTTTGAGCCACGTTCCCTTTTTCTTTCAATTTTTTTAAGTTGTAATAGATAGTGGATAGGCCAATGTTTGTTCTTTGCTGTATTTTCCTGGCCATCCTTACACCATTATTTCACAAATGTAGAATTACTTTACGTTACCATTATTTGTTTGATAATTCCATATTGTGATGTCGTTACTGGTGAGAAATATAAGAAAAAATGTGGTTAAAAAAAACAATGTGTTTCCTGAAATGCACGAAGTCTGTTTACATGCATTAAATTTTTATTTACTCTTATGGTCGTATCACATTAGATGATTTTTATCATGTAATAATTTTCCAAATAATTTCTGGTACCACTGTATATCTCCAAAGTCAACATTCTTTAGATTTCATTTTGGAGTTGCAATAGGGGTCCAGGCTTCTTTTGTAATGATTTTAATACTATCATTATCTTGAAATTCTTGTTGTCTGGAAGTTACAGTATTCTAATCATCATGTTGTCACATGAGAAAAGTCTCCTTTTTCAAATATTGTTTCTTAAATTTACTTTCTGAATCTTCTTCTAATTCATCTTCTTCAGAGATAGTTTCATCAAATATCGGTTCTTCTCTATCATCATGAATAAATTTAATAGGTATTTTTCCTTTCTGATCATTGTATTCAAAAGTTATGAGTCCTTTTCTGATATCAATATTGGCTTTGATTTTATTCAAAA